GGGAGGGTGAAGATTGTGTGACTCTGGATTTCACCCTGTGTTGCTTGTCGTCGTACACTTGACTTGTTGGGCGCCTGGGGGGTCCCCCTGTCCTCTCCCAGGGGTTTCGCCGCACTCACCTTCCCCTCCTACCTCGCTGCCCTCTCTCTCTCCCCCCCCGACTTACCCTCCCTTCGCAAACACACACACGCACACGCAGATGGTCACGGCGCTGTTCGACACGGTGTCACTCGCCACGCAGATCCTGGAGACCCAGTCCCGAGTCCGACAGGCGCTGGTGGAGAGAATCGACGTGAGCGAGATGCTGTGTGTGGACTGTGTGTATACATGTGTGTGTGGTGCTTATATGTGGGGGGAGAGGGCCCCGCTGTCAACCGACCAGGGGGGGGTGCTTTTCCAAACCTGGCGTGCGGATGTTCGTGTCTGAGTGTCTCCCCTCCCCCAACCAACATGTCCTCCCCCGTGACGGTCGTTATCGTTAACTCTGTTGGCGGTTTTATTTCGGTTAGTGGGCCCACTCTGGCTTTTATAGGGTCTTCCCTCCCCCTCCTCCCCTCCATTACCTTTCCCTCCCCCTCCTCCCCCCCTCCCTCCCCCTCCTCGCCCCCCTCGCCCCCCTCCCGCCCCCCCGTGTGCAGCACCTTGAGGACGGCATCAAGGACCGGCTGGGTACCGCCACCGACTACTGGCGCCAGGTGCTGATACTGTCCCGCGGGACCCCCAGGTCCATGGTGCAGGTACGTGGCTGTGGCGGAGGTGTCCGCGAGTTTTCCATCACATATACACATATACACATACACATACACATATACACATACACATACACATACACATACACATACACATACACATACACATACACATACACATATACACATACACATACACATACACATACACATATACACATACACATACACATACACATACACATACACATACACATACACATACACATACACATACACATACACATACACATACACATACACATACACATACACATACACATACACATACACATGGCTCCTCCCCCAATTTCAATTAATCGAACACACACAGATACAGATATACACATAGGCTAGGTGTCCCCTTCCTGACCACTCCCCGCGCATAGTGCCATCCTTTCGCACGCTTTTTAGCACCTGCTTCCGAACCGCCAACCGCCAACCGAAACGGGAACGGGAACTGCCGTTTCTTCCGTACCTCTCCACACCCCCAGATGGTGGAGCACATGACCGGTCAGGCGTGTCGGGAGTTGGATTTGGATCCGGCCAACCCGCTGGCGCGAATGGTTCCCCTGGGCGTCCTGGAGGAGGCGGGGTTGCAGGTGCCGTACACACGTGCATGTGTATGTATGTGTGCATGTGCTTTAAACGGACGGAGTCGTGTGGGCGTATGTGTGTCTGTGTGTGTGTGTGTGTGCGCGCGCGCGAGCAGGCGGGCATGTGTATTGTTACAACAACACCTCGCAGGCCAGGGCCCGACGCTGGCCAGGGGCTGCTGTGTGTGAGTGTAGGAGTATATTGACTTGAAAGGTTAGGGGAGAGGAGCCCTACAACCTGTAGAGGTAAGCCGTACTGTGCAGCTCTGCTCTGCGGGGACCCCAGTGGGTGTCAACATGCCGTGTCGTGTGTGTTTCGCGCTCGCTCGCGGGGTTCCCCCTGAACACATGCACACCTTTTCCCCCTTCCCCCCTCCCTCCCCCGTTTACCCACCTGCTCCCCGGTGTGTCGTACGTCTTGTGTCGCAGCTCAATACGCAGTACGAGCGGGTCGGCTGGCTCCGAGACCGCGCGGACGAGTCCAAGGCCAAGGGGGACGCGGCGAACAAACTGTTGGAGCACGAACGTCAGGTGGGTTGGTTCGCTGGTTCTGACTAGATCCGAGCAAGACGCAGACAGACAGCAGATACGGACAGGACACGTGTTCTACGCTAGCTAACTGGCTAGCTGGCTGCGCGATATAGATCACCCCTGGAGGGGAGCTGTTTCCCCTCTCACCCACTCCTCCGCGATTTAACGCTGGGTGGCCGACCTGAAGTCCTTGACACCCAAATCCGGTGCAAAACAGGTCGGCCTAAAAGTATTAAAATCTGCGAAGCTGACTTTTTCTTCGCGCTTTCTTCATCCTTTTTTAACTAACAAACGGCGTCTTTTTTGTCAGGTGGTTTATTACTCTTTCCCTTCGACATCATATTTGCGAGGTGGTTTTTTCATTTTCAACTGACAACCACCCAACCAACCCAACCAACCCACCTGCCTTCCATACCCGCACCTGCCCGGATCCCCACCTGCGCGTCGTTGATCTTCTTCCCCCTCCTTTCCTCCTCCCCCCCCCCCCGCCGCTCAGGTCACCGCCGCCCGCACCGCGGAGTACCAGTCCCTCATCGACACTCTTAGCGGCGAGGTCCACAAGCTCAAGCGGCGAGTGAGCAGTTTGGAAGCCAACAACGCCATGCAGCAACGAGCAACGGCGGACATGCAGCGCCTGCTCAACGACGCGGAGTGGAAGGTAAAAAAAGTGTGGAAGGAGTTTTAGCTGTAGCAGTAGCGCACTAGCAGTTCTTTATTAAGGGGTTCGCTCGGTACAACCAAACCAAACCCGAAGTTAACATGAATGCCTTGCCCCACCCCCCTTTGCGGTGACCCATACAGGTTACGAAGGCCAAGGAGCGGGAGGCGATGTTGGGGGTCCGGTTCATCGTACCTCACGGCCGCGACAACAAGGCCGTACAGACCGTTTACAGCGATTTGTACATGATGACTGGGCCCATAGCACCCACCATCACCATCATCTCTTCCGCAGCTGCAGCAGCAGCGGCAGCAGCGCCGCGCCAGCAGCTGCTGCTACAAACCCGTTCCTTGGGAATGCAAGAGCCGGCGCCCTCAGCAGACACGGGCGAGCTGCTAGGCTGTACGGAGGACGGCGTTGAGTACGGCAGTAGCGGCGGCGGTGTTATGGAAGTGCCCGGCTCGCCAGCGTCCCTGCCGCCGCTGTCAGCCCTGAACAGCCCTACCATCAATTCAGCTGCCGCCGGCGGTGGCGGCGGCTCCGCAGCCGCGAATCACTGGGGGTCGACCTCGCTCCGAAACCGGCCCCAGTCCAACCTTTCCCGGGGCTCCAGTGCGCTGCCGCCGGCGGCCTCCCCCATGCGCTGCACCTCCCCGGACCTGCCGAATGCTGGGCCTGACGGAGCCGCTGACGGCGGCGGCGGCGGCGGCGGCGGCCCGCCGCTGCCCCGGCCGACCTGCGTATCGCCCGATATGCCCCTTGGGAGAAGCCCCAGCACGTCGGCGAGCGGCAACGGCGGCGCTGCCGCCTTTACCGGACAGGGCCGGCCGCCGCCGTCGCAGCGGCGGCGTCACCCTGACGAGGTCCAGCGCCGGAGCGCCGGAAGCGCCCTGTCACCGGCGGCGTCACTGAACTCGCTGCACTCAGCGAACTCGGTGCTGTCGGATTCCGCGTTAGGGAGTGGCGGCGGTAGCGCCCA